AAATAAATAAATGTGAAAATAAATAAATCTAGACATAAAAACATAAATACATTAATGAATATGGAAATAAATAAGTGGAAATAAATAAATGTAGAAATAAATAAATAAATCTGTGGAAAAATACAATTATACATAAATATGGAAATAAAAGTATAAATACTCATTTATTTGTACTTTTATACATTTCTTCGTATATTTATTTATGTATTTATTTTTGTATTTTTGCTTTTTTACATTTCTTCGTATATTTATTTGTCAGCTTTTAAGTCAGCTTTGGCATTCCATATTCGAAGCCCGATCAAACATGGTCTATTGTAGTTAAATTTTATATTTAGGTATTTATGCAGAAATATTTGTCTAGATCTAAAACTCTTTTACAGCATTTAGTTTTTTTGCTTATATTTATAAAAAAATTACCATGCATTTCCATTTTACACTAAGGAAGGAACAAATAGTATCCAACAGAATGACTTCATATAAAAAAAAATATCCTTAAATCGGATTTTATTCTGGCATGTTGAATTATTCATATAACAAAAGAAAAAAAAAAGGTTTTATAATTGTCCGGACCTCTGGAAGAAAATACCTTATAGAGATCAGGGCCCGTATCCCTAAAGAATTTTTGTACAAAAAGTGTCTCTTAGCGGCCAAATTCTAAGAAAATTCTCAGAGTCATGACGTTTTCTTAGAATTTCCCCTAAAAGTGACACGAAAATCCCAGTTAATATAAAAGCTATTCCTCAAGATTCCTAGCACTTAAAAGGGCTCCTAAGGCGAGATCTGCTAAGAGCAGGGAAGAGGACTTTTAGTGGCTTAGGAGTTCCCCTAAGCAGCTGCACACAATTTCTTTTTTCCTTTTTTTCTCCATTTTCTGTGTTTGTAGGATTTGTTAACAAGCCTTCATAAATAGACAAGCCAGCAATCACAGACATTGATAAAAGCTGAGCCGTGTTACCCTCTTTAAGTCCACACTGAGTTGTAACGTTGCAATTTCTACTTCATTAAGGACAGCCCCTTGAGATAGGCCATCTTGTTTTCAATAGGGTCCATATGGGAGTGAAAGTACAAAATATGTCCGCTAGGATATTAATATGAGCAAATAAGACAAGAATCATTATTTGAACAGGGTGTAATGAGCTTAAGTTTTCACATAGATTCTAATGTTAGGCTATAACCCCTACAGCTTGCTATTCATTTTCCAGATATTTTCTTGAATGTGAAATATTATTTACAATTACAGTCTGCAGATTAGAGTGTATAATTATGTTTATTGATTTGAGGGTACATCCTTTGCTCATTATCACCAAAAGTGCATTTTTATCAAACTTGTAGGATCAACCAATCATGGCTTTTGAAATGATGACTCATACCTAGCAACGGGGTCAACCACACCTCCTCACTAAGATAGGATTTTCCATCCATTCCTTGCTCAGAGTTCACTGAAAATGTTCTGGAATCACTTCTAAGCTAAAACTCCTTGCAAGGAGTTTTTAGGTTAAGTTAGGAGCTCTCTGAGAGGATTCTCAGAATCTTTAGGGATACGGGCCCAGACCTCTTGGAACTTTAGTTGAATACATTGCGTTGGTATAGCATACTGAATTTACAGCCCCACAAATTTATTAGGGCCTACTGAAAAGAATGTATCGAATCGCAATTTCGTAAAGTAGTCTAATGTTAAGAATTCAATTCAATCAACTTTATTAATCCCACAAGGGCAATTTGTTTTAGAGCAGCATGTTAGCCCTGTGTGTGTTATGATGCCATCAAAATGTTTCTCCGTTGTGTGTGTGCGTCACACGTTAAATGTTTTAGAATGTAACACAACATTCAAATGCAAATATGCGCCCTCCCCCTCTTGAAACGGCCGTGTGTCCACCAAATTTTTTTCCATGCACTTGGCGTAGCCTATGTTTTCAATTGTTTTCAATGGGAGCACCGCGATTTTTAAGCGCCATGAGCGTACTCAAAGCAGCTCCTGAGATTAAGCTGGCATTTTTAGTACTTTTTAAAACTTTTAAACTGGCCTTTATTTTTCTTGACGATTCCTCTTCTTTTGTTTGAAGGCATTCAATTGCTCCAAAAACACTAACTTTAGTAAAATTAGCCTACTGGACATCATCACAACTGGTTACCGGATGCGCTCGGGAAGAAATATCTGTAAAAACATACTCAAGACACAAGACATTCATACACAACATGCCAGATGGTAACTAAATAACGTTAATGTTAACGGGTTATTTGACATTTAGCAAAACATCATTTTTGGGTTTTACCACATTAGTGTCAGAATATCCACGCACCTGAAATCCAACTTTAAAACAAACAAAAGAATGCAACCTTAGAAAAAAAACAAAGACTGAATCTGTGCTCCTCAAAATGAAACGGCACTTCTGAGTTAACTTTTCCAGGATTATTAGATAGTATTATTCCTCACTGCGCAGCAAGACGAGGTAAGATTTGGATTAAACTGTATGTTTTATCCAGCTGATGTGGCCGTTTTCATGGCTTGCCTCAACATTAGCGTTTGAATAGCGTGGGCTCTCAGTGGGCGTGGTCACGTTACGCTATAATTAGGTGAAAGGAAAAATACTGACATCTCTCTTTTCATTCAGATTACATTGACTGAGAATAGTTGTTTTTTATATAAATTACTTCATTTAAAAGTAGGGCTGGGTATTGTTAGGTATTTCACAGTTCGATTCGATTTCAATTCTTGAGGCTTCGATTCGATTTCGATTCGATTCAATATTGACTTATTAGCTTCGATATCGATTCAATAATAAGTAAATACACAAGTAATTAAATGCCTGAGTATATTTTTAAGTAATGTGCGCAGTTTTACCAATGTTAAAGAACAAATTGACCCCAGCATGTTTGTTTCCTGTCATGGTTTATTCAGCAGAATAAAAATGTACAATATTGTATGTGTTGAATTCAAACACAACTGTGACAAGCACTGTACAGTGCTTTAACAACACCTCTAAAGTGCATGTAACTAAGTAGTAGAAAGTATATTTCTTTCTTCCCATACAGTCAAGTTATAAAAGAAATGTAAACAGAAGCACAAAATGTGCATACTCAAAAAAGTGCAATATTATATTCTAATTATAATTTTGTAAACAATAACACTTAATAGCTGAACACACTTAACAGCAATTGCGAGTTATCAGGCCAATTCTAAGGGGGAAAAATACTAACCTTTTTCCCTCTCAGAAGTTTATATCTCATAGACTTTATATCATGCATTTCTGACTTTATATCACGCAATTCTGACTTTATATCATGCATTTCTGACTTTATAACACTCAATTGCGACTTTATATCACGCAATTGTGACTTTATATCTCGCAATTCTGACTTTATATCTTGCAATTCTGAGAAATAAAGTTAGAATTGCGAGAGGTAAACTCCCAATTGTGAGAAAAAAAAGTCAGAATTGTGAGATAAAAAGTCGCAATTACCTTTTTTATTTTCCATTCTGTGGCGGAAACAAGCTTCCATAGTTCCCGGCTTACAGTGGAATCCAAAATGAGCCCAAACGTCGGCTTTTAATGTTGGCGGTGCAGTCTTGAATCAGGCTTGAACGGAGTGCAGCTGCTGTCCGTCATCGCGCTGTTTTGCTAAGGGCTAAAGCGCGACTTGTACAATGGTGAACGCTCTCACTAGAGTGTAGCCCACAGCGCCGCCACTGGCCTGGATGGCTGAATCGATTCATAGGATTTGATGAATCGATATTGAATTGAGAAGCAAAAAATTGCAATGCATTGATGAATCGATATTTTTACCCAGCCCTATTTAAAAGAAGAGTTTCAGCTTCTTCATGAAGAGAATTTTTTTGTTTCTGTGACAAGTATTTACTTAGTTACAGTTCATTTTTCTGACACGTTTCAGAATGAACTTCAATGACAGAGAAAAGGCAAAACGCGCATCATTTTTATTTTTCTTTATTTGACAAAAAGCAGAACACTTTGTATTTAATTGACCTTATGCACAGCTGCACTACTTCCTGAACTTAAGCCAGCTCCTTGTTTCCTGTCTGCCATTATTGTCCGAACTTGATTAATTCAGGTGTGTCTGATTATTGTTGCCGTGACTACTGAGGTCAGGCACACCTGGATTAATCAATTTGTCCAATAATGACAGACAGGAAACAAGGAACTGGCTTAAGTTCAAGAAGTAGTGCAGCTGTGCATAAAGCCAACTGACTTCACGCTGACCAAGTTTCGTGGCATCTCGATCAGTTCTCTAGGAGGAGCACTTTAAATTCCTTTGCATGCGTTTTCCAAACAATCCTAAATAGCCGACTTCCTGTTGGCCTGGTGTTAAACTTAGAGCATAAAAGTTGTTCGCTCCGATGAGATCTATAAGTGTACCGAGTTTCATATTACATGCAAGCGTGTTTGATTTATGGACCAAGTTTTTGGACCCTGTTCCAGGGGGCGCTGTCGAGCCCCCCTGGGTACCAGCTTCAGCCCGGCTCTAATGGCCGTGGGTTCTGACCTGTGTGCAAAGTTTTAAGAGTTTTCGAGCATGTTAAGGGCCCCAAAAGTGCCAAAAAGGTAGTAAAATAATCAGTTTCCTAAGGAAAGCAATAGGGCCTTCACCTTTTCAAGGCTTGGACCCTAATTACAACCCAGTAAATTTGTTTTGGTAAGCCTTTCTCTGCAAGCATGTCAAAAAACAAGCCGATCAGTTTTCGCTCCCCTTCTGATGTAGGATTATTATTATAATATTGCCGCCCCTTAATCTGCACATTCCTACCCACAGCGCCGTATTTATAAGATTATGTTCCAATGTAAAAATCGTATGCATTTTTTAATTGCATTATAAGGGTTAGATAGCTTAGTATGTTTGGAGGAGAAAAAAAAACAATTAAATAAGTTATTTTAATGTCAAATTAATCATTTGGGACTATGAAACAATTCTAACCTCAGAGCCGATACATATTTTATATTTTGCTTTACATTCTGATCAAAGGATTCCCTTTTTTCCCCCACTAGCACAAGTGTTACATTGTGGCGACTGTTGACAGGGACCTAAAAAGGAGGATTCGGAAGATTCCAGGAGTCCCAATCATGTACATCTCCAATCACAGGTACACCAACTCATGCTCTGCTTATTTTAATAAATAACTGGTTTAATTACCAATGTATGAATTGACCCTTAGCCAAGCTTAGCATAAATGTTACTAATGAAGGGTCCTGGATGGTAGGGAGTTCACTTACTTGTTGGTGAGTGAAAGAGAGAGAGAGGTTATGTGCAAGCTCCAGAAATTGAATAAAGCCTTTGTCAAGAGGGTGTAGCTACTATTTGGTTGGCTTCTATTTTTACTAAACAAGAAGGTAAAAAAGAGTAACCAAAATTTGAGGTGGCAGTTATTTTGTCTGCTTTTCTTCACAAACAAAAGATTTTCAAAACAAAGCCAAAGCGGGATCAACAGTGCAGCATTTTTTTTTTAACAATTTAGTTGAATTATTCCATGATTAATTTATAATATTCAAAAAGATCACTTGTTGCTACCTACTGGCTTAAAGATGTAATAACTGCCTCCTGCAAAATATCCATGGAAGAATGTAGCATATTTTTTATGAATTAAACATTGTAAATAGATTAATATGTTTAAAAAGTGTATATTCATGAACATGTCAAACAATAATACCAACAAAGCAAATCCCAAATATAAAAAGTATTAAAGTGCTGGCGAATGCAATAATGTCAGGTACGCTAGATGTTATATACCAGTTTCTGAGAATAAAATTGTGTAAGCTGTCATATAGATGCAGAAAATATTCATCAAATTAATTACTTTATTTGTTGATTGCTTGCAGTTCACACAATAGCAGTACATTGTTCATAATATATTGATTATCCCCAATTCTTTTTATTGTTATTTTTTTACATTTTTCATTGGGTTGTTGGGGTGTTAAAAAGTATTATTTGTGCTAATACCTGCTGCTGATACCCTTTTCAGGTTTTTTGTCAGCTTGGACATGTCCGTGTGTGTTTGTAAATGCATATAAATTGTGTATATGTATTAATTTGTAACCGTATAGTTTCTTTTAACCTATGTATATTAATGGAACTGTTCTAACATTTTTTTTGCAGGTATAACATTGAGAGAATGCCCGATGATTATGGCGCACCACGGTTGTAGTACACAGAAGAGTTTTTTTTATTTATTTTTTTTTATCTTGCTTTGTTTTTTTTGTTTTTTTTTTTGGGCGGGGGTGCTATATCCCTACCTTGTATTCAGTACTCCACTATAGTCTTTGGCAGCCCATATGCCTAGTGCACAGAATATTGGTGGAAACTAAAATCTGTGGGAAAAGTGGAAAAAGTAGCAAGAAAGTGATCTGCAACAAATAAAAGTGATTAACCCACAATTTCAGTGATCTAAGATCTCCCTTCTTGTTAATTTGCACAAAATCCAAATTTTATCCAAATTTTTTTACAGTAACACTGTATTTGGATGGTCCCCTTTGAGCATTCTGTTTACTATAAGTAACTTTGCAACTGTCAACTAGCTCTCAGAGTATTAACAGACTGCCTGCTTAATATCTTTTTACTCTGCATAGACAGTAAAATGTCCTTGTAACTTTGCAACTACATGTCAGCTTATTCTATCTCTACCAAATCTACTAACACTCTTTAGAGTTAGTAGACATGTTGGTGCAATGTTGTTTAAAGTCAACAGAATGTGTTACAGACCATCAAAATCCATTTTCATCGCTTTAAATGGAAATAAATACATTGAGATAGTTAATTTGTGTAACTGTGGTTTACTGATGTTGTTTAATAAAATTAGTGTGCATAAAAATCTGTGAAATGCTTATAGGTCATTAAATGTTTAACTTAAAGAAACCAATAAAACACATTTTAAGTTGCTAGACATGATAAAAATATTACTGTCCATGTAAAATGGGAACAATTTTTTTCTTTTTCACAATAATATGTATTATAAAATTTCTTTTAAGAAATTTTTTCTGGGGTAAATGCAAGCATATGGTTAAATGTATGTACAGTGGAATAAAAAAGACAAATATTTCAGATCAGTTTTGAGCTGCAGATCTTCATTCATCTGGAATTTTTTTGACCATGCGTTTCATATAAATTTAAATGATGAATGAGTCCACACACACTAAATATATTTTGATCAAGCTCTAACTTTCAGAGAAGGTTCAAGATGGACTTTGCTATAAAAAGCACACCATAAGATACGTTTCAATTGGATCGCTAATTATTCACATGGACAATTGGTGCAGGGACACTGATGAATGCAGCTTGTGGCTGTATAGTAATTTGGTTTTCTCCCAATAATAACGTTGTTTCAATCATATAAATGAAATTGGCCTAATAGTCTTTGACTATTACAGTATACCTTTCATGTTACCGTTTACCGTTACCAAACATGACAAAGCGATTGAGGAAAACGTTCTTAACGTTCTCTAAACCAGGAGTGTCCAAATTCAGTCCTGCAGCAAGAAAAATGAGTTTGTTGAATTTGTCTATTAATATGTTATAAATTATGATAAATTGTTTGTTAGAACTGTTTGTCAGTTTCAGATTTGTAGAATATTAGTTGTCCTGACATATTTAATTTATAATGTTTCACCACCAGGTTGGTTCTAAATCATGTATTGTTATTGTTATATAACTACTGGCCAATCTAGGACATGAGAAAAAAATTGTTGAGCTTCTAGTTTTTATCACCAAATGAATAAATTCTTGTTTTTAAATTACATAGATGTGATTGCAGAAACACAAGGTGAAACGGCAGTGTCATAGAGAATCTGATTGGTTTGTGGTTGGGTACAGATGTATTCAAGGCTTCAGCTAAAATTTTGAGAAAATTGTATAAAATCTGTTGAATTGTTTTTCATCTAGACATTTATGTTTAAAAAAATTCCCTTAGATGTTTGTTTAGTTGGGCTTAGAAAAAGGTCTTTGTACACTACCTTTCATAATTCGAGAACGTGAAAGCAGAAGTAATGGCAAAGTAATGCTGAAAGGTCTCAAATAAATGGCAGAGTTGAAAATATTGCATAAAATAGAAAAGAGAACATGAGCATTTTTTTAAATATGTTTGCATGTTGCCATTGTTCTTTTACTACAGTCTTAGTTTGTTAATGTCAAAAACTCCTCTCCATCTGGCATTGAAAATATTGAATTACCTTTGCATCAGGCATGAAACAGCACAGTCCAGACCAAGGTCTTATGGATTTGCTGCAGATGGAAAGATTGAGAGATAGTCAAGGCAAGCAAACATTCATCCTTGACAATTGATACTGTGTGTTTATAGAAGAGTTGAGGTACAACGTTAATTACAGACGACTTCATGTGACTTTAAATCGTGTAACAATGGAGGTTTAAATTGAAAACAGAATAAATGTGTTCTATGTACAAGCTTAGTGTGCTTGATCACAATCAACAATGTAATGCAGAGATCTCAAGCCAAAATTTAGTTAATTGAAACTACAGTACATATTCAGTTCTTCATTTAACTAATGGATTACAAGGTCAGCAAGGGTACAATCACATGCAATGCACACACAAGATCTCACACACACACAAAATGGGGCAGGCGTAAGCAAGGTATAAAAGGTAGTTATACCTGTGTCTGAGAAGACAGACTGATCACATCTCACTGCAAGTCAAGAACAAAGGTAAAAAAAAAAATCTAATTAAATATTTTTGATCTTAAAGAATACACTTAAAATGTACAAATATTATATTTGGGAGGAAACAATTATTAGGGTGTTTGTACATATTTGATTCATTTTAAAAATGTGAGGTGTTTGTAAAGTGTGTTCCTTTTTCATCTGTTTTATTTTTTCTATTATAGCCATCATGTTTTGGACCAGATATGCTGGAGCAAGTATATTATTGTTTTTAATGCTTATTCATCTAGGACAACTGTATCCAAGAAATGATATGACTAACTGTAAGTTGATAATCAATGATGACTAAATTATAATACTTAAAATGGAAATGCTACGTTAATATGGAACTTCACATTTGTGTGTGTGTTGATTTCAAGTTGGATGTGAGGAGTGCAAGCTCAAGGAAAACAACATTTTCTCGAAACCTGGGGCTCCTGTCTATCAGTGTATGGGATGCTGCTTTTCTAGGGCTTACCCTACACCCCTGAGGTCCAAGAAAACCATGCTCGTTCCCAAAAATATCACATCAGAAGCTACATGCTGTGTTGCCAAAGAAGTTAAACGGGTAAAATCTGAATGAATAAATGCTATTATATTACATTGTTTTTTTTCCTTTGTTTCATTTGTTTATGTGTTTGTTTTTAGGTACTTGTCAATGATGTCAAACTAGTGAACCACACGGACTGCCACTGCAGCACCTGTTACTATCACAAATCTTAAAAACATGCTGTTACTAATTTACATGTTTGCTTATATTTAGTTATATTCCCGTCTACCTGTACCTCAGTGCTTTCTGTTTTTAATTTACAATGACTTATATAAGCTATTTAAATTGAAACTATAGGCTACTGTTAGAAGTTTGCTATAACCATGCATACTGTGCCGATGTTCTTATGTAAAACTAGTTTGCTAGTGCATTCAACAATTATTTTTTAAAAGGTTGCCCTACTTCCATAAATAACTTAAAAGCATAAAATGCTATTCGAATTAAATATAATTTTTAAAATTCAAGATATGCTTGATATTAATTTAAGCCCTCTTTTAGTGGTAATTGTTGACTTGTTTTGTCATCACTGCTGTAAGATTGTTCAAATACATTAATTAAAAATAAGATTGCTTGACATTGCTGCTTCGTTTCTTTTCTCTGTTAATTTTATATGCCTGTTTACTGATGACTGATAACTGATATGCTAGTATGTCGATGTAGTACTATGTTGCTATTACATTACTTTGTTTAAATATCTTATAAATAAATAGGCCTATCTTATTTTACTTTGTGAAAATGATAAGACGGACACACCTTTTAAATTGTTTTATGAAATCGCAAGTTGAGTTTTCAAAGAAAGTAAGAAAGATGTAGGTATTATTTTTGTGTCAATGCAGTTCTTTTTTTTGTGAATTAAGACATGGGCGGGATGGTAGGCTTCTCGAAGAGAAATTTCGAATAAGTTACTACTATGACGAAAGATTGGGTCATGATTGAATATTAATTAGGCTATGTTTCTTTAACGTACTTCAAAACAGTTGCTATGGCGACTGCTTCCCAGACATATTAAATATCTATTTTAGAAATCGCTCGGTTTCTGTAATGCAGATTTGTATTTATTTATTTATTGTTGCTTGAATATTAATTGGGCTGTGCTGACGTTGCTCGGTAGCACCCTAATAGTGAATGCACGGGTCATGAATATTTGGATCAGGCCTTGGCCGTAGTAGTTTGAGATATTTGGGCTGGTGTGAATGCAGCGAAGATGGCGGAGGAGGAGGGCAGCGCGACTGAGGCTGTGGCCCTCAGACAGAAATTTCAGGATATTATCTCTGAATTAAAAAGGAGCTCCGAGTCGATGCTAGACGCCTCCAATAGTTTTTGTCGGGATTTCTGTCAAGTACGACTTTATTCATGCGTTTTAATCTACCAGTCTTTGTTCGTGGACGATGCTGCATGTTTGCATCGCTGCACCAACGATAACAAAACTAACAATACTAATACAGTCATTCATAAATATGATGGGAAAAACACAAAAAGCTGTATGCTGAACAGATAAAACATGATTGTGTTTTACAGTCATTAAATTTTACAGACTTACTGTTTGTTTGTATGTATGGTGACTGCTTCTGATGGCTAACACATTAGCTTATTGTAGCAGCAGCCTTTACTTTCACTCAGAACAGTTATTGAAGGTACATAAATGATCATGTAATCCTAATTATATATATATATATATATATATATAATCAGCTGATGTAACATAGAATGATTTTGTAATAATCATGTATTTTTTTTAAGAAAACAGCTGTTTTCTCAATTATCAATCAAATTCTTTGATTATCAGATTAAATTAACGTTAGTGCTAATCATTAATCAGTATTTGATCGCAACGTGGCCTCCGCATATGTAAGGTAATCATATATAAATCACTGCTTTTCATCAGATATACCATATTTAATTATTCTTGACTACTACTGTTAGATGCTTTTGTTATTGGCTTTAGGCCATCACTGAGAATAAAGTTGGGACTGTGAAAATCTGGACCGTTCATTTATGGCTCTTTTTCTTTCGTTCAGGTTTTGATGCAGCATGGATGTCAGGGAAGACCAGATGAAGATCCGCTTCCTCTGTTGGAGATGTACACGGTAGCTATAATGTGCTGCGCTGAGGCTAGCCCGTTCCTCAGCCCTGAATGTGAACACCTAACAGATGTGCTGGACAAGTTATCATGGTGAGTATAGACCAGAATGGGTTTGCATGCTCAAAATGCATGTTAAGTTTATTTTTTAGTACTCTCCTGATTAAGATATTTTACATAAAAGAAGTTTACATATAGTCAACAAGCCAAAAAAAAAAAATAGCTGAATTTATAAAAATATCCCTGTTCAAAAGTTAATGAACCCTTGATTCTAAATACTGTGTGTAGTTATCTGGATGATCCACGACATGATCTTGATAAACTGCCCAATGTTCTTCAGAAAAATTTTCCTGGTCCCGAAAATTCTTCAGTTTTCCAGCATATTTTGCATATTTGAACCCTTTCCAGAAGTGTTTGTATGACTTTGAGATCCATCTATTCACACTGGGGACGAGTGACTCAAACACAACTATTAAAAAAGGTTCAAACATTCACTGTTGCTCCAGAAGGAAACACTTCAGGGAAACATGTAAGTATCTTCTGTTGCTTCTGAAGGGCAGTACCATCAAATGTTTTCACCGTCGTAGATCATCCAGGTAATGACACACAGTATTAAGAATTAAGGGTATGTAAACTTTTGAAGGGGGTAATTTTTTATAAATTCAGCTATTTGGTGAACAGTGAATGAACAGAACTCTCTTCCACTCTCTTACCCACAACTGAGGTGCTCCAATCACTTCCCAGCACTGGCTGCCCTCTGCTCCGGGTGTGTGTTCATTACTCCTTGTCACTGCTGTGTGTGTGCACTTGGATGGGTGAAATATGGGAAAGTTCACTTTCTACATGAACTACATTTTAAAATGAACAGTGTTGGGAAAGTTCACTTTCTACATGAACTACATTTTAAAATGTAGATGTACAATGTTAAATGTACATTTTAAAACTTCAGTTCATAGTTCATATTTCAAAATTTTGAACTAAGTTCACAGTTCTTTTTTTCCAAATGTTGCTGCGAGCTATTTATTTTGTTTTAAATTCTTGCCATAGTCCATACAACCACAGGCAGCAATTATTTTATGGCCGGGCAAAGTTTGCACAGAAATGTACGATTTTTCCCATCCTCACCGACCTTGTCATAAAATTTGTTTAAATGATCATACGACGCCTCCTCAATGCTTTGTCGACCTCATGCTGCTTTTTGTTTTGATGACGCATGCGGCGGCCACGGTGGGACACTGGTGTGCTTGTGTTGCCAGATTGGGTGTGTTTTTTTTCGCTACATATTAAAGGGTAACTAAACCCCTGGTCAGAGCCTGACTCCACCCACTAGCAATATTTGAAAAATGCTGAAAAAATGGGCAGAGCCCAGCGGGGCCAGGGGGCGTGCACCTGAGACCCGCCGTGAGTGACAGCTGCTGTCAGACTCTAAAATAGAGAGAGACTGGAGTGACGCAAGTAGCTGCCTTTGCAACAGAGCGGCCATTTGAAGTCGAGGACTTTTCTCCCTCACCTTCACTCACCTGAAGTGGATGAGGGTGAATTGTATGTAGACACAGGGCCAAATCCATTCGAGCCGCTGGCTCAAACTGCGGTCTTAAAGGGTTAGTTCACCCAAAAATGAAAATTCTGTCAGTATTTACTCACCCTCATGTTGTTCCAACCCCGTAAGACCTTCGTTCATCTTCGGAAAACGAATTAAGATATTTAAGATATTAAAATCGCTCCTGCATACAGTCCATAGGCTTCTTGAGGGACTGGCTCTTGCCGTCCCCGAAAAGTCATAAAAGACATCGTTAAAATAGTCCAAGTGACTACAGGGGCTCAATCTTAAGTTTATCAAACGACGAGAACACTTTTGTGCGCAAAAAAACAACAAAAATAACGACTTTATTTCAACTATTCACTTCCTTCTCCATAAGCCTATAGTCCGTTAACGTAGTGTGAATGCGTAGAGCTACGTCACACGTAGGCTCACTATTGGTCGACGCTGGTCATGTGTGTGTGATGCGTGTGACGTACAATAACAGAAGCTTACGCTATTAAACTAGTTAGCTGACTCGCGCAGAGGGAGAAATAAACGAATAGTTGAAATAAAGTCGTTATTTTTGTTGTTTTTTTGCACACAAAAGTGTTCTCGTCGTTTGATAAACTTAAGATTGAGCCCCTGTAGTCACTTGGACTATTTTAACGATGTCTTTTATGACTTTTCGGGGACGGCAAGAGCCAGTCCCTCAAGAAGCCTATGGACTGTATGCAGGAGCGATTTTAATATCTTAAATATCTTAATTCGTTTTCCGAAGATGAACGAAGGTCTTACGGGGTTGGAACAACATGAGGGTGAGTAAATACTGACAGAATTTTCATTTTTGGGTGAACTAACCCTTTAACTCCCGCATCGCGACCGGCATCTGATGAGTTTTGTCGTCGAGTTGATCTCAATAGCGCGCGCTCTGTGGGCATATATTCATATTGATATTCTGCCGCTATGTGAAAAAATCCAGCAAAACGCGCCGGCTCGTTTGTCGACCCCAGAGGATTAACTTTATCCTAACCATAAATTGTGATTAAAATATCCATGATCACTCACATCAAGACGCCGCTGCGATGGAGGAGTCCATGCAGGAGGAGCAGTGTTTGGCACTGCGTGTGGAGCTGTGTGGAGAAGCCCATGTCCACCTCTATTCCGTTACTATCCTGATCACTGTACTAAACACTGATAAATCTATGCTAACTTGAAGCTATCCTAACTGTACTATGCTACTAGCTACACAAAATAATCTAAATTATCTATATCTATATAATGCTATGCTAAATAGATGCAACAATACTCTATCCTGATCGTTTTCAAAAATAATCTAAATAATCTAAATAACTATAAATGCTATGCTAACTAGATGCTAATATAGGCTATGCTATCCTGATCGTTTTTTTAATACTCATAAATCCAACTCCTCCTGACTCGCTACAGTAGTTTTGACGGAACCAGATGCTTTTATACCAGGGGCTGCCAAGGGCGTGGTGAGCTCGCACCAAGGGCGTGACAGAGTGGCGTCTGAAAGTTCCCTACGTCAGAAAGTACCCCTACTGCAGGAGCTTTCCGTTTAACCTGAAGAGGGCAGCACTCAGACGTTTTTACACCATATATTTGAAAATCAAAACACTTTATACTCAATTGTCAAAAAATGTACTCGAATCAATGAACAGCATTTATGAAGCTCCATTCTTACAGATCATTAACTAAAAAAAGTTGTTTTGGTGTTTAGTTACCCTTTAAGGCCTGTTTGGTGTGTTATAGTCGGATTTTGGTCTGGAAGGCTTTATAGAAATCTGGCACCCTATTGAACAAAGATCAACTGAGAGAGCATACGTTCACAGACACTAGAATGAACAAGTTCACAGTATCGTTCATCAGGCAGTAATACAGTACGTTCAGTTCACGTTCGCCCAAAATATGAACATGTTCAGGCACAACACTGGACACCATGTCACCATGTTTCAGCCACACACACTTGGCTGAAAGTCACATCACTTTTTAAAATGGTTTACTCTATGACCAAGTACAGTTTCAAACATAAATGTTACCATTTGATGCATTGTACCAGAGTTAGCCATAGGCTGAATTACATCTGCAGTCCCCTGGCAGGGTACAAAAAAACAAACAAAAAAACGTATATACTTATAACTTACTTATAACAAACATACTAACAAAAAAACAACTTAGTTATAACTTACTTATCCCGCTATTAATGCATTATACATATAATAATAAACCATCAAAAATGCTTTTAATTATCATACTACTAAAACTAAATGTAAAGGTGATTTAAAGGGATGGTTTACTGCTTTTTTGTCTTTGCATGATTGTATTTATGTTGTGCAATATAGCATGTATTCGGGGTTTTTCTTTTTTTTAAATTTCACCTTTTATTGTAAGCTGCTTTCTCCTCTGTCATTTGAACGACTGGTTTACATCCTGATTCTATGAAACCACTCCCTCAGAAACAGGCAGTGGGCTCAGATTTTGGGCTCAGTTTGGGCCGGTGTGTTGTGATTGGCTAAACTGCGTAGAGCACGTTGTCCGGATACTTAACGCCCATTACCTTTATGGGTGAATGTTTCATGTGCTCCGGTCAATGTAAATAATGGTGTCGATACTGCCGTATCAGTTTGAGCCAGAATCAGACTCAGAAAGCGGCAATGAAGAGAGTCAAGCAGAACCTCACCACACACGGCTCTTACAAAACGTTTCTGAATGGTAATTTTTTTTTTTTAATTATTATTATTATACTGTTATATTCTACTATTATTATAAGAATTTCGTTATGTTGTTGCTTGAAAATACTGCTGCTGCTTGTTAGCTTTTGAGATGCATTTTTCTCCTGATTAAACATTTAATATAACTTAATAAAAAATTTTTAAAGTTATTGTTTTATCAATATAATGAACAACCGTTTATCTATTCACAAAACTTAGCTTACTCAGTGTATCGTTTTATTTAGGTGTAGCGTACATGTGGCAACTGTGTTAAAACCATACTGTACACTAAAGACTGCAGCTAAAGTTTGCTGCAATTACATATAATTATAATTATATAACAAATCCTATAATTTTTACTTTATACACGTTTGTCTTACACAAAATAGCATCGAACTAACTGGCTACTATACACAAACAGCGTTGGGATTGGTTTACGTTCTTGATCAAATCTAAAAAAATTCCGTCATAAAGTATATATACAGTACATGAAAAATACATTTACAAAAATAGTACATATACAAATTCAGGTCAAAAATGTTTGTACGCATTTGTCGTAGACACGAAATACCATAAGTGGCTATTTAGCCAGCGCTGGCATTTGATAAAACTAAAACATTACGTCTGGAATTATACATGCAATTGTCACGGTGCGGGTGCAGGCAGAAGAACGGGCAGAGTTCAGAATCTCGGTAAAGAGACATTTAATTCAAAATACAGGCAGGAAGACGGGGTATCACAACGCAACATTCAACATTGACCGACAAACACAGACTGAAGGAGGGAGAACTGAATACACAGAGGAATCAAACAATAATGATGGGAAGACAGGTGATACT